TAATATTTGTTTAATGGGTATTTTTCTTAATGACAGACTGTTGATTACCTAAACCTTCAGGGGCTATGGAGAAATACACCTGTAAAGAAATACACAGTTTATATATTGTTTATTTTTATTCACTTGGATTGTGCTGCTACTCCAGGATATAAATGAGACCCTCCATACAACTGATTCAAAAATATTTTGTAAAAAAATATGAAGTGCCAAACCTGAAATCTCTAAGCAGTTAGTAGAGGAACTGCTGTATTAACAAGATGACCCACATGACCAATATTACCACATGACTGGTGTTTATTGCTTAGTTTAGTTTTTTAATCCCACAGTTTTCAAGCCAGCTTCATGACTCCAAGGGATCTGTTGTGCACACTTTGAACTGGCAGTACTCCAACCCCAAATCTTTACCTGCACATTTTCAAGATCATCACTTTACATTACACCCAGGTTTGCAGAAAGCAGCAATCTTCAGATGTCCTGCTGCCTTCTTTCTAGTTCACATCACTGCATGTAAGCAAAATCCTTTAAGGTTATTTTGGTGATCAGTGTGTTCCAAGGAAGGGTAAGTGTACTCTCTAAGTAACTGCTGACGCTAGAGGCCATTCTGTAGCATAAATCTTTTCTGCAGTTATTACTTGGTCTCTGACCTCCTCTCCTGTGACTTTTTAGAACAACTGTGGAAGATTTTATATTCCAAATTTTCCAATACCTCTTTTCCTTTCCTTTCTTAAAAAAAGGCATGTTTTTTAAGAGTTCAAATTGTGTCTGACTTAGAATTTTCTTAGATGGAAAACAACACATACAAAACCCTTAAACTTTGCTACCTCAAACCTGTGAAGTAAGAACAGCTGTGAAATTTCAATACAATGCCTTGCATATGTTTGCTTGTATTTTTTTCCCCCTATTGGGTTTGAATCAGTAAGTGTGATTTAGGCTATCACCATTCAAAGACAATACTTCTATGCTAGATGTGCAGTTCCTGGATCTAATGACAGGGGCTGATACAGAGAAGTTTTAGTGAAAAACTGTCAGTTTTCTAAATCACTCCTAGTTTCTAGCAATTTCTGTTTTTTGACTACTACAACCCTCACCTGTGCTTGTGGGCTTTTTGAGACTGTGGAAATAGTTTTGGGGTAAGAATTTTCAACATTCTTTTGATTGCAGTTTTAATTGGATTCATTAATTACCACTGAGCTTTTTAATTATTTTCATGTTTGTCAAACATTCTATATTACACGTGCAGTTAAAAAAGCCTGAAAATCAAATTCTGTAAATTTAAAGTAATACAAACATTTGTCCTTTAGGAACTGGATTAGGTCACAAGACATGAAAGAGCTATTAAATAGTCACAACTTTTCATCTGCACTGATCTGGGTTGGATGCAAAAGGTTTTGTATTCTATTAAAAATTTCCTGAGCTAACCAGCCCCTTAAATGTGATTACAAGGATCATGCACCAAAGACCTTCAAAGGGGGTGATGGAGCTCTTTTGATCAACTGAAGAAAATACCTGACAAAGCTTAGGGTTGTTTCAGAGAAATCTATGCACTCAATAAATAACATGTTCTTTTGGACATGCTTGGTAATGCATTATGGTGGATGGTATTTATGATCAAAGGAATAATAAGCTAGCTGTAGCTAAACTCAGTGGTGATTTTCCTAGAGGATATTTACTCAGGTGTTGTAGGAAGTATTGTTTCTCTGTAATAAACACCAAAAGGGGAGGAGTTCCTTGTAGTTGCTAAAGGCTGTGCTCAGTTAGGCAGCCAGGGAGGTCAAAAGGCAGTTCCCCAGAGAGGTAAGTTCTTTACTTTTTACAGTGGTGGTCTCTCTTCTGCTAGTTAAACATGCTTGTTATTTTCTTAAGTTATCATTTATATATCTGCTGATCTTTTTGTGTGTCACTTATTTGCATATGTACATAATTAGCCATCAAAACACTTCCTCATGGGCAGAATAATATTAAAAGCTCAATTATAAAGAAAAAAAAAAATAGACAGAAAGAGGGAACACGTGGCTAAGGTCCCACAAACCCTCCATGGCTGAGCTCTGCCCAGGATTCAGAGCACAGAAGCAGCAGGACCCCCTTTTGGGAGGGGAGGTCCACAGTATCCAGCATGGCAGGATCCTGACTTTATGTGGATGTAGGAAGGATTTTCACAATAAATACTTTATTACATAAATCATAGTCTTAATTCAGTGCTTTAATCACAAGAGCATCTTTTTTTTCTTTTTGTCATTAGAAGCTTCCAGGAACGTAGAAGTTCAAGTTTATCAGTCCTGAAGTAAAAGAGGTCCATTCTACTTATGTATGCTTCTGGTCCATTATATTACAATGAAGAGTAAGGCTTATTCTAGAAAGAGTTGTCTAGTGTCATCTAACGTTGAAGATGCTCGGAAAGGATGTCTGTTCATACTGCTTTCGCATTTCTCTCATAGTAATTTAAAAATAGTTTTCAGACTCACACCCACAATATTTCTAATGAAGTTAAAAACTATGCTGAAAGGCAAGGAAAGAGCCTGAAACCAATTTAATCACAATCTGTTAAAAAGACAGTGTAGTATATAGATGCTGTCTCATGGCGTTAAGCACAACTTAACCTCATACCAGGTACAGCTGGAGACGATCACACTTAATTTATCTTTTAACATATATCTAAATATTGTCAATGCATAATACTTGCCCTTAAATATTTCAAATTTATTTTGGGGGAAGAGGGAGCATATTCCCACATTCACTCAGGAGCTTTGAAATCTTATCAGGAAGGCTTCCTAGAGAAAACTAAAGGCATAAATTTTTGGGAAAAAGAGGGGCAAAAGTCAATGCATGTTGAAATGGAGAAAGAAGAACATGAAGGAGTGAAAATAAAGGGAAAGGAAAAGTGTGACTAGGCTGCACAACACTGAGTGTCACTTAATCACTTCATGCCCAAGTTTTCCAGCACAATCAGTGTGTATTTGACACACAGATTGTCATTCATGATGGAATGGAACTCCCTGTTTGTCTGAACAGTGCCTACCTTTATAGGTCTTGGAGGTTGGTTGTGACTTCTACCGGTTTAAACTAGGATCCTTTCTGCAGCAACAGGCTGTCATTACAGTCATTACACATCATTCATGATCATTAAATGAAACAGATACTCATTTTGGGGATTTTCACAGACCAATTCACCTGAATAATTCATTTATGCGGAAGACCAAACTGTGTACAACACTTCACTCCAAATGTCCTCAGCTGAGTCACATCACGGATTTTTGCCTTTGAGGCCCCTTAGACAAAAGAGTGCTCACGGGGAATTTCAGGACTTCAGAGCTAAGGGACAGTGACTGGCACACAGATACTGAGAAGCAGAGAAGGTAGGCAGCAGTGGTTTTGCTTTAAGACAACACTGTTAGGAGTGGAAGGGGACATGTGAACCAATTGCTGAAGACAGTCTCTTCTGGCTCTTAGATTGCATCTAAGGACTTTTCAGCTCCTTGCTCGGATGCAGGCCAGCTCTGCCTGGGAGGAGAGGTATCAGGATCCACCATCCCTTTTTGTACCTGGGTTTCCATGAGAGGCTTGTAGCTGTTTTTCATGGTGCACTCTGGTCAAGCTTCTGCATGATCAGAGGATTAGACTGTCATGCTTCTGCATGTGACCCGCCATCCAGTCACACACACAGCCCAAAGGCAGTGGGTGCTAGGCACACATATGCACAACCGAAATCAGTGAGAGCTTTGCTCAGGGAGGGGAAAGCTTTGCACGATGTTGTTTAGTGATTTAAGCCTAAAAGATATGGATGTTTTTACAGCTGAGGCCTTACTCTGCTAGTAAGTCCAACCCCAATTAGTAAAATGGGATTATAAAACCAGGAAGCTCATTTTGTATTTTTATAGGGTCTCAACCAGAGGAGGAATGAAGAGACAGAGCAGACAGAAATGAAAGGAGTTAATAAAGACTATATGGTACCTTAAACTTTCCCTCATAAATTCTTATGTGCATAATGCTGCACACAGTCTGAAAATGTTAACAATTTTTATACAGTAAAGTAGTGCTTTCAAGGGAATTAAGGAGGCCTCTTGTCCTTACAAATATCTGGCTTGTGGCTGTTTAGCTTTGGAGTTTAAGAATATAGAAGTTTCTACTGATGATTTCCTCACAGTGAGGAATTCTGTAAGGCTTCTTGTCCATGTGATTTCTTTGTCTGGAACGGGGTAAGTAGCCTTTCCCACCGTTAATATATTCACGTGGTCCCTACTCTGCTTTTGTGAAAGATGCAAAACATACATAAGCCCTAAAACAGCTCCTCTACTGTCAGACCTGTCTGAAACCAGAAACCAGGTTCAAATGTTATTAGAAAAATGGAAGGAGACAAAATCAACACGATAGCAGAGGTCTCTAATGGAGGCATACATTCCTTGGTGCTGATTAAGTTTAGCTGCTTCTTTGCAGCGGATGTGGCAGGGGTCTTCCAAGGAAAGCTCATGAAGCATAATTAAAGCCTGGCTCATATATCGCACAGGAGCTGTACTGATAAAATTCATCCATTTCCCAACGTTTGAATCCCTCGTCTTGCATCTTCACCCTGCTATCATGTGTTATGCTTCTGTCGTGTAGTCGCCTCTCTGCAAGGGGGTAATAACGTGAGCTCTGCGCACACACCTGATCTCAATTATTTTTAGCGGACCAGGTAAATCCATTAGGTTTGCGCAGGTCAGCGCGGTCACCGGCAGCCGGGGTTCCGTGTCGCGGTCTCCCGGGACGCTCTGGAAGCCCCGCGCTGGGTGGGCCCAGCCCGGCCCCAGCCCCAGCCCCTCTCCGGACGCGGTCGGCCCGGGATCCCAGGTTGGTTGCGGCCCCTCCGTGCCGGGGCGGCTCCGCTGCTCCCTCAGCAGCCGCCCGTTTCCCCGCCGGGAGGGGCGGCCGGGACGCCCCGGCGCCCCCCGCCGCGCCCTGTCCGGGGGCGGGCTGAGTCCTCGCGGCTTTGCCGGCGTTTGCGGGGGATTATCGGGGCAAACAGCTCATCCGCTGCTGACCCCGAGGCGGGACTGCGGCCGGGCCGGGGCCGGGGCCGGCCGGAGGAGGAGGAGGAGGGGGGCGGTGAATCCCAGTCACGGCTGCCGGAGGTGGCGCGGCCCCAGCCCCCTCGGCGGGGCTGGCTCTGCAGGGAGCGGAGGTTTCGCTGCGGGTAATCGCCGGCCCGGGAGCGGCAGGCAGGGCGGGAGGGGGGGGTCCCGGGGTCGGTGAGCGACTGCCGGCTCCGCCGCCGCTGTGTAACTGCTCCCCGGGGAGCCGCGCTGCCCGGCGGCCACGCCTCGTCAAGGGGCTTCGTGGCTGTCCGGCCCCCCGGCGTGGAGACCCGGTCCCTGGGGGGTGCCGCGGCAGGGGGCTGGCCCGGTGCCTCCCGCCGCCGGGACGGGCGCTCCGGGCTCGCGAGCGGGGCTGGTCGGGGCCGGGGAGGGCCCGGCCCCGGGAGGCCTGGGGAAGGTGCGGGTGGGCGCTGGCCCCGTCCCTTGGGCTGTCTCCTTCAGGCCCCTGGGTGGATACTGCTTGTTTCGACTTTGTTTGTTTGTTTGTTTTCCCTGTGAGCGAGTTTAGTGTGTTCAGGAGAGCTGTCGGGACCACTTCATGTGTGTGGTGAAACCCGTCAGAGTGCGGAGGCTGGCTGCCCACTCCAGTGATGTGAAGGCCTGTGGCATGACCATGGGTCTTGGCATGACACCTGTGAAATCTTACCGTGCCCACAGCATACACTCATACCCTGTAACTTCTTGCCTGCTAATGTTAAGTGCTAGCAAATTTGATTGTTGTCTGTAATGCCTTCCTTATCTTGCTATCAAATGACTCTATCACCTTAATTTCAAGCCCTGCCAAAGTTCATTGATACAGCTGCTAAATTCATTTTGAGTTGCCACTTGGCTGCTGTTAGAAATTCTGAGAAACAGGGAATGAGATCGCACCATATTGATTGTTATAGCCTTATAAAGTTTTACTGTGTTAAAATAGGAAAATTAATTGATGGTTTAGCTTTGAAAGCTAAATTCGTTGCTAATATATTGATCTAGTGTGTAGTCATTGAAAAATTACTCTCATCACTTGCACAATGCCTCTCTTCTGGTAACCACAGAATGAGCTGGATATTATTCAGTTCATGGATTGCTAATGCCAATTCATTGCTTCTGGTGCCACAGGGTCCAAATACAATTTGATAATGAACCATTCCCCCTTCCATTGTTAATCTTGTTTTCATTACTGTAATGCCCCTGCATAAATATGTTCTGTTGGATGACAATTGTCAAAAAAATCTTTAACTCTCATTTGTTCTCAACATACCAGAACTTTTAGAATTGACTACAATAATTAAATTGAGCACTTGGTTTCCATGTTCCTTTCATAGTCTCTTCCTATAACTAAAGGTTGGCCTCAAAAAATTGGGATCCTGTACTGATGTCATGTTTGAGCTCTGAAGGATTGTCATTCAGTGAGTAGCCCCTATGCATGAGTTTATATTGAATGCCTACAGCCCTTGCTGATTCTTTAAACTGTTGCTTAAAAAACCCATCCTCCAGTGGAGTTTCCCAAGAACTGTAAACCTCAGCATGCAGTAGGACTTCTACTGTTGTAGGGCACAGCGGGGAATGGAAGAAAACCAAGGTGGAACCTAACACCGATGTAGATCTCTTCCAGCAGTGCACTCTGAGAACATTCAGAGAGTGAAGAACTAGAGCCTCCCATGCATGGGGCTGGCCGGTTCAGCCTGCAGCAAGTTGAAATGTCAAGATCAGCTGAATAATAATCAGCAGATGAAATGTCAGTGTGGACACTCAATATGCATTTATCAATAGAAGGAGATCAGGTACCAATACCACACAGTACTGCTTCTCTACTGCAAGTAGAAGTTTTACAAAGGTCAAGGAGTCCAGAGGCATCAAGTTTCTCTGAAAGCTGTCTTGCTTTGTTGGGAAAGTTGTCACTGGATAGCAGTCAGCAAAGAGGAAAAGTGTTTTTAGAAACAGAAGCAGCAGTTATTCAGCCTTTCAGAGAGTGAGCACTAAAAAGTGCCATCAGAAATGGATGATTTTTTTCCTTGAGCAGCCCTAAAATTAATGTATATTCTTTGAATTGTGCCCAGGGAATACATTGTCTGAGATTAAGCTAAATTTATCACCGCTCCTTGCCTCAATGCTCTAAAGTAACCATTTATTTCTGGCTTTACATTAATTTAGGGTTTGGTTGTTGGGTTCAAGGTTTGGTTGGCAATGTCATTACATGGTTCTTGCCTTTTCTAGACATCATCAGATAATGTCCAAGTTGCCAGCCAACTTTCAGGTGATGAGACGTGGATGGCTTGCAGTTTCCCTGACTGTAGCATGCAGCTGATACATATTTTGTCAACTGTGAAGCTATAACGCTTTGTTTCCAGCAGTTAAGTAGCATAGGACTCATTTCACCTAACATCTACATCTGAAGTTATATAACTGGGTTCCTGTTGTGGCCAATGGAAACTTAGCCAATATAATCAAGAGTCTCGAGAGCAAGCCTTCTTATGCTAAGGTAGATGCTAACCAGGTCAGGTAAATCAATTTTTGATTGCATTGACTGACTAAAATGGGATTATAGTAACTAGCTTAGGTTCCAATAGGTATATTTTAGACATATCAAGTTAGATGAATCCCAGCTTTTGTGTTTGTCTTACTCGTATAAGCACACAACTGTGAAAGAAATGGAATGACTTAGAGAAGGTTGTTGATTTTTATTCTTCATCTACCATAGCTGAGGATAAAGTGTGGGGGTTTTTTCCCCCTCTGGAAAGTTTCTTGCAGATGGGAAAGACAATTGTTCAGTTCTGGGAAAACACTGGGGGGTGTGTAGAGCAGAAAATAGTAAGCAAACTGATGTACAGTCAAAGAGGATAATTCAGATAGATACAGGGATAGTACAAAAATGATATTTGTGATGTTGTTTTTAAGTGAAATGATGTTAAGTGTATTCAGAGTTTGACAAATGAAATAAAAAACACAGTTATGTTCTAAATGCTTGGTTTTTAACTACGAAACTATGTAATCTGCTCACACTGAGCTTAGATTTGACTATAGTTCCCATTCAGATATAGGTTGTATCATCATCAAAATCAGAGGCCAGATATCCCCCAGAATTAAGTGGGGGTGGTATTGGAATTTCCAGAGGAAAGCTTATTTTTTGAATGATAGTTGAGATAGTATGCTGCATAAATGTGTCATTACAGCTGCATTTATACTAGCTCAGGATCTGAGCTGCAATCCATGTTCATAGCTGAACAATCAAATTATTTGTACAGTTATCCAGAAAGTGCTAGGTGTTAGTATGATAAATTGCATATTGTAGCCTCATGCTCTTGATTTAAGAATTCCAAGCAGCAACCTTTACCTTTATTATTAAGTACTTGCCAGGGTGATATAAACTTATGAAATAAGAGGAGTTGTGTTGGGATTTTATTGTGATATTGCATTAAGTATTTCAAGGCCCCACTGTGCCTTGTGATCAGTACTAGACCAAAGATCTTATACACTAGATAGTGAATAAATTAAATGCCTCAGAGTGTGAAAAAGTGAGGTGAGAAGGGGTTTTTTATTTGATATAACAAGCCTCAGCAGTCTTTACATGAACATTGCCTGCAATTTATTTTTCTTTCTATCCTTTTTTTTTTGTGAAAAAGGGTGATTATTTTTCTGGCACCCATTAGGCAAAAGGTTTAAGTTTCAGAGTCTGGAGGAGTGGGATTGCTATCTCCACAGAAGTTGCAGACCCAACAGGCAATGTAAGCTAGTGTTGCTGGCTCCTGACATCCACCTCCCATGATACATGTGAAGATGTCTGGCAAATTACAGGATAGGGTATGTGCAAGGGCTGTCTGATTAAACACAAGTAGTCTTTGCAGTGGGAAGCAGGGAATGATGTGGACACAAAAACAAGAGATCAAAAATACCTCAGTAGATGGGTTTCATACTGAACCAATGAGGTCCTGGTTCTAATTTTCAAGACCAGAAGATTGTGGTAGCCAAGAGACAAGATACTGATGGGAAACTAAAGGCTGGATTAATTTTAGTCATATATGAATAGGTATCTGCTTTGCTAATCACATAGACTCCCTTTATGGAGAAGGATGGATGACATGAGGCAAGGTGCCTCTCTTGTTTTATTAGATCCTTAGGGAGGAAATGGGTATGCTTTCATCCAAGTGAGATGGAGGTGGTTTCTGAATGAAACTATTGGGGTGGGAAAATTTAGAAAGAATTTGCAAATTTAGCTAGTATGAAACAGTAGTAAAAATACTGGATTACAGTGTAATATTCTATGTGAAATTCAGGCTCCACTATTCTTGCAACCCAGCCCAAAACCTATTGCTTTTTCCCACTTTATTGTCTGTGACACTCTGTGGACTTGACCATAAAGCTCTCAACAGTGCAATTGGTGTGTATCTTAAGTTTTGGATGTGATAAACGTGCTTCATTGAATTGCCTCTGCAGCAATCAGATAGTCCACGGGAGATATACAGTGTTCTTCATGAGGCTGCCCCTTCCTTTCCTCTTCCCTCTCCAAATTAGCTAGATACTGAACATGATGGAGAATGCAGTCATTTGCCAGCACTGGTGCTGAACAGGGCATCTCTGGATATCTCTAGTACACAGTGTGAGGTCTGCTGCATAGCATGTGTTTGGTGTGACTTCTGAAGCAAATCATCACATAGGGCTGTGATTATTCGGAAATACAACAAACAGGGGCTCAATCCCCTTTTGCCCAGACCGGTCTACCCTGTGAATTCACCATTCACGTCATAAGGTTTCATAATTTATAACCCGTAACTCTTGATTTCTGAATTTATGAGGAGAAAAAACAAAACAAAACAAACTTGGTTACCTAGCCAAGGGTGAGAATGCTTATCCCTTCCTCTTCCATCACAGTGTGGGCATCCCCTGTATTACACCAGGGAGCAGGAAGGCCTCAGCAGTCCATCTTCTATTGGATGTGCTTCAAAAGCTTTTGGGGTAAACTGATGTGCTATACCTTTCAGTTTGGAGGTTTGGTCTGTACCATTTCCCTGAATTATCAGATTCTGAGGAAACTGCCAGTCAAAAGATATTGGCTGCAGGGGACAGCAATTAGCAGGTGGATAATGATACATAATGACCCTTTAGCTCTTTCTGGCCT